GTAAATCGACGTTTGTATTGGGTAGTATTGGGTTGTATTGGGTAAGTAAATCGACGGACCCATATATATATATATGGTAATTATCCTTTAATCCCCAATCCCATGCTGGGAATTCTTAAACAAATGAAATGTTACATATAAAATCATGTACTTTTCTTACTAGAAAATATTCAAAGTTAGATTGAGATTTTTATCACTAGTGCAAGTATGAGTCAGAATTTTTGCTTTTATTATGAAACACATGTTATTCTTTTCTAAACCAATTTTCTTTGCATCTTTGAACTAGAATCTGATGCATTCTTCTGAGATGTTTGTTTGCTTGGAATGCTCAAGTTTTGTTTCCTGCTTAACCTTATTTATGTTCTTTTGTTTTATTATTAAGTATCGTATTGCAAAAATTACGATGGATCCAAACAATATAACTACAATGATAACTATTACACAAAGTGCTGTATTCTGACAAATGCCATTCTTCTCTTTCGTTGTGTCAGATTTTCTAGATCTTCTTCCCGTTGTACTCGTAGCGACTGGAAGATATACAAAAAATCAAGTATTCATTCGTTAATTTCGCATGTATGTGCTCTATTTTCCGAGAGAAAAAAAATCAGAAACAAAGCGGACAAAACAAATATGTCAGAAGTTCATAAAATAAACTAAATGGCTTTCCTATCAGTTATGTGCAATTTGCTATGTGGTTGTAATGTATCAAATTCTTTAAAAATCATTTGAAGTTTAAACAAGAAAGGACAATTTTGTGGCAATATATTTGGAACAATTACATAAACATGCCACACCAATTTAAACATTAAAGACATTGTAAATATAGTAAATGAATCCAATTGAAAACATCTATATATTTTTTATTCAAAACATTTTTATCATTTAACAATTTTCTCTTAGCAAAGGTCGTTACATATCATTGCTCATACATTGTATCGACACAGAAATTATTTAATGTGTGTGTTATCATGTTAACAATTGATCATTTTTGTTTATGAAGTGGTTCTATAATTTGCTTTAATGCACACAAAAATGTAAAATGAAGTCAACTAAGATAAGGTTTGTTATCCTCACAAAAAGGTTGATGCAAAATCATGGAATATGGAGGAAATCCAAAGGAAATCCATCCGGAATTATTCATATATTTAAACAATAACTGCTTCAGAATAATATAATATAATATTGAACACATGGACATCGTTTCGTTTACAAGTATGTATTACTACAGCAACAAAAGATCGAATAATTTAAATATTTTTTTCGGAACATAGCATTCATTTTCAAAAATATTTTTTCCGTTTTATTCAATACCGTTAGTGATACTGAAAACATATTATAATTGTCGTGAGTGTTAAAAGGAAGAAGTTAATGATAGAAAAGTATTTACCTTCTATTCTCTGTTTATCTTCATGTTGCCTTCCAAAAGCAGGATTATATTTTGTTCCATACAAAATCAACTGCCAGTTGTACAGTTTTCCTACGTATCAAAAGGGGAAAAATGTTTGAAGGTTGCAAAGAATTTCATGTTGCACATTCGAAAAGTCAAGTACTTTTCTTTTAATCAAATCTGAACATGCTTTAATAAAAAATAAAAAAAACACAACAACATATGAATGATTCATATCTGTATAATCTAGGTTGTGGCTATTTTTAAACAGTTAATGAATTCAATTTCAGAATTTATATGTTTTACGACAATGTAATCTTAAAATATTGTATAATCGTACCTAAGACTTAACATTGTTTTCAGGACATATAAAAAGTTGTTCGGATGTAATACTAGGAAACTGAATGACGAAGTTGAAAGCAAAGCTTAATTAAACACATAATAATTTTCAGTGTTTTAAATAAAATATTGATGAAGTCGAAAACTAACCGGATTCCGAATAAACAGGTGTTGACATTTTCATAGTCCATTGTCCTTTAGGATTTTCACCCCAAAAGTGAACGGACATAAAACGCCATGTTTTGTCTCCACTGTGTGTATCGTGCTGTCTCAGTGTAAGCATGTGGCTGGTCGTTCCAGAGGGAGATGTAAGATCCATTTCTACGGCTCCATGTTTTGTGGCCGAAAAGGCCACTTCTATTTCGACATGTTCTAGAAAGTTAACTTCGTCGTATTCTGTTGCACTGCAACTGTTCGATTTAATTGAACTTGTCACCGATTTGTTTGTAGACCTTGAAAATGGAAAACTTTGTAGTTAATTAAGCAATGAATGTTTTAGCAAATGTTGTCATTGCTATTGATAACAAACTTAATAAAGCCTTGCAGGCTTTCAAATAACGAATAAAAACCTGCAATGATACCAATGCTAGTGTTTGTTTACTGTCAATTTTATAATACATGAGAAACAGCATTATGATATCTTATAAAAGTGTGTTTTGTATGTTTGATTTTTATATTCGAGAATTATTAAATCAAAATGTATTACCTATTAACTACCATTTTGTCTGATTTGCATATGTGTTGAAATGGTACAAGGTTCCATGACCTTGCCTTCTCAGTTAAGGAGTCGGCATCCAGAAGCCCGAATCCATATAAATCGTTGACTAGAATACAAAGAGACAGTAGGGAAATATATTTCATAAGAATCAGATTACACAAAAAAAAATCCATTTTCATGCTAAATATCATAAATGAGGCATATCGTCTGTTGTTTGCTGCTAACTCTGACAATGCAATCAATTACCATCAAATTTGAATACAACGCAACAGGGTTTAAAACAATAAGACATAGACATTAGTTGATAAACGGCAAAGCTGTCGAATTTTGAAAGCCTTTTGAACAGTAAACTATGTATGACTTATTTTCAGCTGGCATATTTTCAGTCTTTACGATTATACCAATCTGTATTGGGGAATGCAAAGTATAACCACAACTCTACCTCTAAAATGTAATGATCTTTATTCATTAATATATAAATATATAATCTTCTTATTTGAAATCCATAAAGGTTATTTTCAAAACAGTACCTATTTCTAAAAAAAGACTTATCGTAAAAGAGTTAAGCAAATGTTATGTTGACTGTGAAGGCATCGGATACATGACTTAACTATGTTGACAGTGAGGTAATTGTTAGGCCCATTAACTGTTGATGTTCAATGTTTGGTCGCGTTATCAAACCTACACATGAATCCAGCGCCATTTCGGTTCCATACTCGTCCCAGCAAAGAATGTTGTTGTGATGTTGAAACGAGTAGATGTTGAATATCTCGATATGTCAGGCTCGAACTACAATGTAAATTTTAAAATAGCATTATTTTTCCTCTAATGGTCCTGGTACATGTAGTACCTACCTCTGTAAATATGTGTATGGTTAGGAAACTGTACTATTGAAACGATTGATGAAAAGAAAATCGGTGCTTCATTTTTTTTTTTTTTTTTTTAAATCACTCTACGCAAC